AAATACCTCAACTAGCCGGTGCCCCCGCACATTGACTCTGCAATGGTACCCCCCTGTATATATAGCCTCCCTACTGTTACTTTATTTTACTTCTGCTCTTTTTTTTCTCAACACTTTTTTTGTTGTTGTTTTATTCTTACTTTTTTTGTTAAAAATAAATGCACTGTTGGTTAAGGGCTGTAAGTAAGCATTTCACTGTAATGTCTGCACCTGTTGTATTCGGCGCATGTGACCATTTGATTTGATTTGATTTGATTTAATTTACGGTGGGAAATACACATGCAGTGATCATCCGTTCACCCACACCGCGTCTCAAAAAGACACGGCGGTTGGAACCAAAAATCTCCAATTTGGACTCCAGACCAAAGGACAGATTTCCAACGGTCTAATGTCCATTGCTCGTGTTTCTTGGCCCAAGCAAGTCTCTTCTTCTTATTAGTGTCCTTTAATAGTGGTTTCTTTGCAGCAATTCGACCATGAAGGCCTGATTCGCACAGTCTCCTCTGAACAGTTGATGTTGAGATGTGTCTGTTACTTGAACTCGGTGAAGCATTTATTTGGGCTGCAATTTCTGAGGCTGGTAACTCTAATGAACTTATCCTCTGCAGCAGAGGTAACTCTGGGTCTTCCATTCCTGTCGCGGTCCTCATGAGAGCCAGTTTCATCATAGCGCTTGATGGTTTTTGCGACTGCACTTGAAGAAACGTTCAAAGTTCTTGAAATGTTTCGTATTGACTGACTTTCATGTCTTAAAGTAATGATGGACTGTCGTTTCTCTATGCTTATTTGAGCTGTTCTTGTCATAATATGAACTTGGTCTTTTACCAAATAGGGCTATCTTCTGTATACCCCCCCTACCTTGTCACAACATAACTGATTGGCTCAAATGCATTAAGAAGGAAATAAATTCCACAAATTAACTTTTAAGAAGGCACACCTGTTAATTGAAATGCATTCCAGGTGACTACCTGAAGTTGGTTGAGAGAATGCCAAGAGTGTGCAAAGCTGTCATCAAGGCAAAGGGTGGCTATTTGAAGAATCTCAAATATAAAATATATTTTGATTTGTTTAACACTTTTTTGGTTACTACATGATTCCATATGTGTTATTTCATAGTTGTGATGTCTTCACTATTATTCTACAATGTAGAAAATAGTAAAAATAAAGAAAAACCCTTGAATGAGTAGGTGTTCTAAAACTTTTGACTGGTAGTGTATGCTATGTTGGAATGTGTGCCCAGACCTGTCCGATCTTAATACAGGGGTATTTTGTGTGTGTGTGTGTGAGCGTATGTGTGTATGTGTGTGTGTTTGTGTGTGTGAGTGTGTGTGTGTGTGAGTGTGTGTGAGTGTGTGTGTGTGTGTGTGTGTGTGTGTGTGTGTGTGGTGTGTGTGTGGTGTGTGTGTGTGTGTGTGTGTGTGTGTGTGTGTGTGTGTGTGTGTTGTGTGTGTGTGGTGTGTGTTGTGTGTGTGTGTGTGTGTGTGTGTGTGTGTGTGTGTGTGTGTGTGTGTGTGTGTGTGTGTGGTGTGTGTGTGTGTGTGTGTGTGTGTGTGTGTGTGTGTGTGTGTGTGTGTGTGTGTGTGTGTGTGTGTGTAGTGTACCTGCAGTATACAGCTGGTGATGTCGGAGGCTATCTTGGCATGGGGTGTGTCTTCGTCTTTGCCCTGGGGGGTGAGGTTATGTTCCAGACAGGACTCCCACAGACCCACTAAAGCCCCCCCATGGCGCTCGATGGACCGTGTCTCCCTGATCGCCGTGGTGATGCGCGTGATGCAGATCTCCACCACCGCCTGGTCATTGTCATTGGTCAGGTAGTCCTGCAGCCAGCAAATCATAGGGGAGACGAGTCCGGATCAGCCCATCATGATCAAAGAACAATGAGGAAAGAGCATGTTTATTTTTAATATAGTTTCAAATGCAGTCAACCTGAAAGCGCTCTAACACAGATCCAAGTCTCAAGGTTGCAATACCTTTTGCTCTTAGTTTTCCCTTGACACTCAAATGATCAAAGGAAAAATACTCTTAACTTTTTCCATGTTGAGGTGGAAATGTTCAGACAATCAAACTCTGGCCCCATCTAGACAGTGTCATGAATAAGCAGTTGGGTTAGATTCTGCTGCAGACTCTTTCCTTCTTTAGTTAAATGATGACTGAGAGACTGACTGTGTTGGATGGGAAATGAGGACATGTGGGCCCTGGAGGGATGGGAATCATATCATATCTGTTATTCCAGGGAACAGTCCCAAGAGACACACCTGCCATAAACTGCTATCCCAATGGGAGTGCGCAGTCAGCATGGAAATGACAGGTGTGTTTGGTGAGGTGATGCCATGTGTGTGTGCATGTGTGTTTGTGTACTCACAGGAGAGCAGGAGATAGCCTTGATTTCCTCCAGGGCCTGTGAGAGACAGTCCTCTATCTCAGAGTCCTCCAGGGAGAAGAGGTCTCCAGCCCGGGACAGGTCCCTCTGGCCCAGTACCAGGCCAAACAGCTGGTGCATGGTGTGTCTGCTTCACTCTGGCCTGCTTCAGCCCAACTCAGCCTGGTCTGGTCCACGTCAGGCCTGCTTAGGCCCTGTTTGATCCACACTTACTCTGGGGCGGCCTGAGGCCAGATGTTGCTATGGAGACAGGGCATGGCCCCTGAAGATGGTGGGGTGGTGACCTCATACACATCAGACCCCTGATGGAGAGAGCGATAGAGAGAAAGAGAGAGAGATAGAGAGAGAGAGGTCGATAGAGAGAGAGAGATGAGAGAGAGAGAAGATATGATAGAGAGAGGAGGAGAGAGATGGATGGTTGGGGATATATGGGGATAACTATATATGAATAAGATTAGATATGATTTATATTTATATATGAATAGAGATATAGATATAGAGCTGCTATAGTAATAGAGAAGAGATATATAATATATATATTCAATACTCTCTCTCTCCTCTCCCTATTCTCCCTCCCATCTCTCCGCTCGTCTCTTCTCTCTGTCTCCATTCTCTCCCTCCCTCTTGTCTCTCTTCTCTCTCTCTGCTCGCTCTCGTCTTCTCTCTCTCTCTCTCTCTTCTCTTATGCTCTCTCTCTCTTTCTCTTTATCTCTTTCTTTCTCTCTCTCTCTCTTCTCGCTCTCTCTCTATCGTCTCTCTCTCTTCCCGTCTCTCTCTCTCTCGCTCCTCGCTCTCCCGCTCTTTCCTGTTCTCTCTTCACTCTCTTCGTTCTCTCTCTCTCTCTCACTCTGCTGGCTCTCTCTCTCTCTCTTCTCTCTCCTTCTTCTCTTCTCGCTCTTGTCTCGCTCATCTCTTTCTTCTTTCTCTTTATTTCTCTCTATCTCTCTCTCTCTCTTCCCTCTTTCTCGCTCTCTCGCCTCTCTCTGGCTCTTCTCCTCTTCTCTTTCTCTCGGATGCGGTGGTCTCTGGTTCTCCTGCCTGCTGGTCTCTCTCTCTCATCTCTCTTTCGCTTTTCTCTTTCTTTCTCTCTCTCTCTCTCTCTCTCTCTGCTCTCTCTTTCTCATCTCTCCCTCTCTTCTACTTTTCTCCTGTCCCTCTCTATCTCTCTCTCTCTACTCTCTCCTTCTCTCTCTCTCTCTCCTCTCTCTCTGCTCTCTCGTCTCTCTCTTCCGCTCTCTTCTCTTCTTTTCTCCCTCTCGCTCCTCCCCCTCTCTCTCTCTCTCGTGTCTCTCTCTGTCTCTCTCTCTCTTCTCTGCTCTCTCTCTCTCTCTCTCTCTTCTCTCTCCTCTCTCTCTCTCTCTCTCTCCCTGCCTTCCCTTCCTCCCTCCCTCCGGGTTTTCTTTGTAATTTCTTTTTTTCACTCTTGTTCTACTTTTTTATCTTTATATTGCGTCGCGAGAGACCATGTCGGCGTAATCCTCTTCTCACATCTCTCCTCTGTAGTTCTACAGGTATAGTACTGAATTCCTTGTGATCAGTGACCCTCGTCCTCACGTCTCCTCTCCTCTGTAGTTCTACAGATTAAGTTAATGAAGTCAATTTGTGATCAGTGTAACCTCTTCTCACATCTCTCCTCTCCTCTGTAGGTCTACAGATGTAGTTAATGAAGTTAATATGTGATGAGTGTAACTTCCAACCACACTAATATGTGACACATTATAGAGCACTCCACTGACACTCACAGCTATACACTGCCTGCCAAGGACAAACACCACCACATAACACACCATCAGAGGAGATGGCTGCATGAATGAATGAGTGGGAGGCTCCCAGGAGCTGTGAGATTCCTAATTTAAAAAGTTAACCATTTACCCCCCTCACCTGGGCTCCTCCGGCCCTCTCTGGAAATATTAACACTCAGAGAGGTACAAGGTGGGTAACCATATTCAGCTGTACTGTACACACAGGGGTCAGGGACGATTGATTATTGACTGTGTGTTCACAGACACGGACAAAGGAACACACACAAACAGTAATATACACCGAACAAAAATATAAACGCAACATGTAAAGTGCGGTCCATGAGCTGAATAAAGATCCCGATACTTTCCATAATCACAAAAAGCCTTATATTTCTCTCAAATTTTTCACAATTTGTTTACATTCCATTTGGTGAGCATTTTTCTCCTTTGCCAAGATATCCCTTTCCCCCTTACAGGTTTGGCATATCAAGAAGCTGATTAAACAGTATGATCATTACATTTACACAAGCTGAATGATATTTCTTTCTGTTAATAAAGCCCTTTGTGGGGATAAACTGGCTCTACAGTGGGTGAACCTGGCTCCCCAGTGGTTGGGCCTATGCCCTCCCAGGCCCACCCATGGCTGCGCCCCTGCCCAGTCATGTGAAATCCATAGATTATTTATTTTAATTGACTTATTTCCTTATATGACCTGTAACTCAGCAAAATATGTGAAATGTTGTATGTTGCGTTTCGATTTTTGTTCAGTATAAATTACTTTTTGGGCACAATTTCTGAATCCCTCTTTTGAGTGTTTTTAACTACTGTGAATAGCAAAAGGGGATGAGACTACTTTCACCTATCAAACCCAATTCCTGCCCACAGAGTCATGGCCACACATCGCCGGGTATAACGGGGGAGGAATGCTCATTGGCCATGCCAGTTTCTGGAATCAAACAACCACACAGCCATCAACACAGAGGGATGTGTTGGCTTTATCTCTCCTGGCAGTAAGGATGGGGCTGGATACAACTGAATAGGGCACAATCACTATAGGCTTCCAATTAGATATTTCACTGTGACCTGACACCAATCGAGTACCATTATCACAAGTGTATTTTATCACCTGTGGACAGAAAAGTAGTGTGTGTGGGAATGGGAAGAGAGATCGAGAGAGAGAGAGAGTAGAGAGAGAGAGAGAGAGAGAGATAGAAGCTAGATACGGAGAGAGAGAGAGAGAGAAGGGACTCTCGGCCGATCTGTCGCTATCCTCTATAGCTCTCCTCGCTATTCTCTCTCTACTTCCACCCAACAACCGAGCACACTGGAATTGATCTTTGTGACCTAACAGAGTACATAGTGGCGCATACCTTACCACTGTTGAATTCCCCAAAATTAAAAGGACGCTTTGACTATGTCAAACTCAGTGAGCATAGCCTTGCTAGTTGAGAGTGGCTGCCATAAGCCAGACCTAGCTGCTCAAGAAAAAAAGACAGCCGATTTGCACACTGCCCACAAAATTAGGTGGAACTGAGATGCATTCCACCCCTGACCAAATATATGACCACATTATAGACAACCTATTTCCCTCAGATACACCGACCCAAAGATTCCAAACAAATCCAATTTTGAAGAACTTTTCTTTTGTGAGTGTTTAATGGTTTACTGTTCATTTCTTCTGATTGTTTATTCACTATGTTGCCCGTTTGTTATTATCTAATATGAACATATGATTCCATTCCAAGACCGGCGCTTTGAATTGAATTTAAAATTGCGAGATCGAGAGAGAGAGAGAGACCGATATACAGGACAGAGAGAAGAGAAGAGAGAGAGCGAGATAGCGAGAGAGAGAGAGAGCTAGAGAGAGAGATAGAGAGCGAGAGAGAGAGAGAGCTAGAGAGATAGAGATACATATATCTATAATAGCGAGAGAGAGAATAGAAAAGAGAGAGAGATCGAGCAGTCGCTCGCACGAGTCTCGCTAGAGAGCGAGATCGGCTCGCTATCAGTCTCGTATCGCGACGCATATAGATCGCGCTAGCTCGCGAGAGCGCGCATCTCGATCTAGCTCTCCCCTCCGCTCCTCTCGCTTCGCGATCTCTCGTCGCTCTCTCTCTCTCTCGCTCTCTCTCTCTCTCTCGATCGCGCGAGAGAATCGATATACAGTAGAGATAGAGAGAGAGGGTTGCTCGTATTTCCGTTTCCGTACTTTTCCTGGTGTACTGCGACCCCTCCCCCCACTAGTCTTCCCTTACTTCCACTTATTCCTCTTTCTTCACTATTTCCCCCCACACCCACACCCACTCCCACAACACACAGCACACCACACCATCACGACTCCACACACACACACACCACACACCCACGATCATTTTTACTTAATATTGTCTTACATTTCTGACATCAGATCTTCTTCCTTGTTCTCCTAACTCATCTTTATTTTGGGAGTTAATTTTTCCGATCACCACGATCCCATACCTCCTACACAACAGCCCCATACTATAACCCCACAACCCCATACTATAACCCACAACCCCAAAACTTCATCACACAACTTTATATTTTTACATGTAAGTCTTGAATACCGACATAAGAAATAACAATGGTTGTCTTGTATTTGTGTGTTGTGGGGCTGGCCCATCCAGTTCTTTGTGTGTAAGAGCTGAGAAAAACAGGCCTGAGGAATTCAGCTCTTAAACAATCAGCTAGTTACTATTAATCACCCGGCTACAGATCAGCAAGCTCAGGTATGCAGCTTTTAAACACACAGACTCAAACACATACTGAGACACGTGTGAAAGAGAGGCTGGACACCAGGCAGGTGACTGTGCATTAGCTCCAGAGGGACCCCTGCGTGCTTCCCAGCCCTAGCCCAGAGAGAGAGCTCCTGAGTGGGGCACTAGGTGAGGGGTGATGGGGTACTGGAGGTCTGGTGCTAGGTTTAGTGGTATATTGGCAATTCGAGAGCGAAGGGAATAAGCGCAGAAGCAAAAATAAAACGAGAGCGAGAGAGCGAGAGAGAGAGAAGAGAGAGAGAGAGAGAGAGAGAGAGAGAGAGAGAGAGAGAGAGAGAGAGAGAGAGAAATAAAGAACACTGGTCCTTTTGTGTGCTCTATAAGTGACACCCCCCCCCCCATCTCTGACTCAGTGCTCACTCAGCCCTGTCTCTCTGTGATATGCACCTGCTGAATAACCCTCATTTTCCTTCTCTACCATCCATAGACAGAGGGAGAGGGAGAGGTGAGAGGAGTGAGGAAAAAGGGGGGAGAGAAATACTCCCTAGTCAAACCCCTGTTTTTCTTCCATCTTTATTCCCTCCTGAAACGTACTTCTTGAAGTCACAGCAGTGTGAATGCCTAGCCCCAAACAGTAAATTAA